TCTCTATCAATTAAAGGCAATAAAGAGCCCCAAAAAAATATACTTAGAAAAATAGATGTGGCACCAGATTAAGTGTCTCACCTTGTAGGTAGTTAAAGCCACATATAAATAATAGCTATAAATAGTATTGCATGGTCTAGACTACCGCATAGACTAGCACAAAACTATTCAGGATTCTAACATTTGGCTGTCTCACTGACTGACACATACATTTTGGATTAGACCAGAAAAAAACAAAGGCAGGACAGATATAAGGTGAAGAGTGTTGTAGACAGGGCATGATTGAAGAAGTGAGTGAAAGTACAATGCTAAAGTGAGTAAAGACAGCAGCGAGGTAGGCTGATGGGCACCATACTAGCTGCAAAAACAGGAAAGAGAAATATATTAAGTCCAGATTTACCCTTATTTGTATAGAACGCCGGGAGCTCTTCTTTTGATTCTGTCGTACAGAAAGAGGACAACACTCTCCCAAAATCTGTCTCTGTGCACCCTCCTGCTGCTGACCCTGACTTCACCTTTACTGATGTCAAGCTCAATTTAATTTAGAAGCAATAGCAGTAATTTTAACTGCGCATCAGACCAGCACAATTGCTGATATGTAAGCTTAGGACAAGCTTACATAAGCAACCCCCCACCGCACACACCCTGCCCGCTCCACTTCCTTCCACACATTCATTTACATAAGAATGCACAAAACTTCTATTCCACATATATCCCTTATCCTCCTGTCCAACTGCATGCAGATTGCGAGTGGCAACAGTGTGATCTTTAGCAAGTGATTGCAAATTGCAGGTGCATTTGCGAGTCTTACAGAGCACTTGCATGAGTCAGTCATGGGTTATAAATATATCAGTTGTTTTAATTAGTAGCACGTAAGAGGAAATAGTCTAAAATATCACAGCGAACATTTGGTGAAACGGGCTTCTGTATGCAGGGATTTGCTCCCAATCAGCCACAAGAGCATTAAGGTTGGGTTAAATATTGAATAATATAATATGTATAATAATATATAATAATTAATATAAAATTGTGGCCTATGGGAGAGCTGGCTGCTGTTGATTTGATAGTGTGCACAGCGGTAACTTTTTAATGATCTTTTACTTGCTCCCTTCTTGAACTCTGTCGTCTTTCCTTGTTTTCTTACGACTTTTCCTTTTGCCTTTGGCCTGTCTCAGCATGTCTTTCTCTTTCCAGTTCATACTTTGTCTGTTTTTGATCTTTCTGAGCACAATTGAGCATACTTTTATTTAGTTTTGTTGGAGTTCAGAGTCTCTTACTTACAGAAGCAAGATATTTTCACGTCTTAAAACATACAAACTTATCACATTATAGTAAGAATCTTTATCTATTATCTTGTTATAACATGAAACGTTATAATATGATAACTTATTGTTATAGCAAAAAATGTTTGCTATAACGCGTTGCAGCAATATATGGCCAAACTTGTTCAGTTGACCTTCAATGTTGAGTTTCACCGAACGTTGTTTTCTTCTCTGCTTCAGTCTGTACTCTATTGTCATCTAACTGTTGTGGATTGACAGATGTGTCTCTCCTCTGTTGCTCATTCTTCTCTGTCTCCTCCAGCCACTGCATCAATCAGATCCTGGAGAGCGTCAGTCACATCCACCAGCATGACATTGTGCACAGGGACCTCAAGGTGAGTTATCATATACCAGTGGGTGAGTATGGGAGGACCTTTTGTACTATCTGACGTACCAGTCAAACAAAAATCAGTTTCATACAGCCCTGTGTTGTGAATGAAGATGAAAGGCATTTATGGAGATTCACAACAGGTCTAAACACACATTCGCACAGACGTCACGCTGCGACGTTAAGAGCAACTTAAGAGATGAGCGTCATCCCAATCTATCTTCACCTGCTTTCTCTCCTCTTTATTTCTCAATTCCCATCTTCCTCTACGTCTGTACCCCCTCCCCCTTTTCCTCTCCTTCTACCCCCCCTGCACTGCTGAGGAGTGACGAAAGCAGACCAGCTGCTATTAATAGCAGGTCGGTGGGTGAGATGACGGCCAGTGACGATTTCCCCCGCAGCAAGACCGCTCACCCCTACCAGAAACAAACAGCACTTTGACATCTTCAGCTGTGATATTTTATTTTAATAATATAGAAAATGAAGACAGGAAAACGAGCTGAGATTTAAACACCTGAATAATTGCACCACTTTGTTTTTTTATTGCCAATACTGAGTTCAGAGTCCTAAACTTTAATTGTTTACTTAACAAGCTGTTCCATTACTTTTATGTGACAGAGTTATATTAAACCATTACTCTAAGTAAGTAGACAAGTATAATTGGAAAATAAATAATCTGTTTTTGTGTGAGAGTGGCGTAAATGGACTGTTGCTTTTTCATTGATTTTTAGCTTGCATATGGAGCTCAGTATCAAATAAGCTTAGAGAGGGCAGAGTTTAGGAAAGACGATAATGTTAATGGATGATGAAAGCAGAGGACAGAAATGAATTACATTAGTTGTTAATGTACAACTCTTTTCATGCACTGAATGCATGATGCGTCTGTGCTGCGTTATTATTTAAAAACTAATTTAATGTAGCAGAGTGTGTAGTATCAATCACACTCACCAAAATGTATTTTAAATTCTAGTAGAGAGAAGTCTCCAAAAATACCAAATATTGGAAAATGTGTTTAATATTACATTCTATTTAATATTTCCAATTGATGGAATGAAGCAGGGTAAAATAGTTTAAACAGTTTAAACTTCATAATACTTCACATTAAATCCATTTGGCATTTTGCTTCAATGAAGAGCTGATACAGAATATATACATGTATCTCTTTCTATTTATATAATATAAATAGTTTTCGGAGGGGATATTTGGGGATAGCAGAAACAGAAATATATCAACTGTGTGAACAAACATTTGCTTATTTACACATCCAGCAGTTATAGAGAAACATTATGACTTCTTTGGAGTAATGTTCCTGGCCACCTATATTCACTCATTCTTTTAGTTCTGTTTTTTTTTGTCTCTACCAACTTCTTGCTCTTTAGCTGCTAAATGCTCAACTATATTCACTAGGTAGTTGCTAACTTTGTCTACCTTGCATTTGTTGCTCACTGAAAACATCTGCTTGCTGCATCCAAAAACAATACTATGAGAGCGGTGAGAGTGAACCAGAGCACTCAAGTTGTGGACCAAACCGCTAATGAGCAGAAACTTTCTAATAAACCAGCTTTACACTATCCGTATCACCAGCAGCACAACAAAGTTAGTAACTAGCTGGTGAACATAGTGGAGCATTTAGCAGCTAAACAGATTATTCTCAAGAGGCGGTTGAGACCAAATCAGAGCTAAAAGGAGAGACTTTTGGACTGAAGCAGCATTAGTTTTTCTAAAAAAGATTCTTGGTAGGACAAACCCTTAAATCATCTGACAGCTAAAAGAAAGCAACATCTGAGAACTTCCCAGAGATAAAGCTGCCAAAATTGACATCTGTCATCACAAAAATACTAGTAATGCCAACAAAGTGTGCCATGGAGAGTTGTGACATCTCACACACCCTTGCCACATTTTTGCCTCTCTGTCATCTTGGGAGGGCCACTCGCTGAAGGGAAAACAAGAATTAGAGAGAAAGAGTTGAATGCTGTTGGCTGGTGGCAGGCTGGGTTGCCATGGTAACAGTAGGGTGAGGTCACCCGGCTGCTGCAGCGCCAGCGTAGGGACTCATTATGCCACCTCCCAGCTATCTGTCTCTATCTGTCTCTCTCTTTTCTTCTGTTGCTTTCACTCCAGCTCTCTGTCCGTGTGCAGTTCCCCTTTTTCTTTCCTATTGTTTCAATTTGGCCTCATAGAGTGGGGGAAAATGATATGAGGAAGGAGGGATGGACAAATAGATAGATAACAAGAGGGAGAGAAAGCGCAAGACTGAGCTCAAAGACAAGTGTCAGACATCCATTTGTCTGTCTGCATTTGAGGTGATGAAGACAGCTAACCACTGCAAAGACTTTTGCCCATAAGACACGCACACCAGATTGTTGAAGAAAAACATCAATTTTCTAAACTGCTTATACTGCTTAGGGTCACAGGGGACTGGAGCCTTCCCTAGCATTTATTGGGTAGCTGTCCATCAGGACTAATACTTATATAGACCTCATTTATGCCTTCCGTTATCTGGATATGTGATCACTGGCTTTTGCATTTACACCTGGTATGTTCACCTGGAGAGTCGTTATCTAGATTCTGCCTTGTCCAATATGCAAATTAGGTTGGAAGAGCTGGCAGACATACAAGGTCGGAGGTTTAAGGAAGCAATGCAGGATACTCTCAACGAGCCCCCTACAAGGTGCGAGGGGTCACATGATTGGTGGACAGCCAAAGGAACTTGATGATTTTTCTCTGAATAGAAGTTAGAGCTAGAGCTAGAAGTAGCTTGGCTACCATTGTCGGTCAAGTGACCCTTGTCTTGCATGTCGTTCCTCAATAGTCTCCCGAAGCAATGCTGCCATATGGGCTCTTCGTTTTCTTCTTTTTTCCTTCCTAGAGAAAGAGATTGTCTGTGGCTCTTTGAAAGGCAGTTTGAGAGAACAAGAAGAAGTAGATTTCTTTTCTTAAAGTCCAGTGTGTAACATTTGGCAGAAATTGTCTATAATATTCATAGCTATGTTTTTTGTATAATCGCCTATAAAATGGAAAAGAAAAAAGAATTGTTGTGTTTTCGTTACCTTAGATAGAGCCGTTTTTATATACAGAGGTAGCGGGTCATCTTCCACAGAGGCCGCCATGTTGAACACAATGTGTTTGTACAGTAGCCCAGAATGGACAAACCAAACACTGACTCTAGAGGCTGTAGTTTCTCCTACACACTTGGAAGGCTGAGCTGTATTCATAGTTGCATCGTCCCTGCTAGATACCACTGACTCCTACGCACTGGTCCTTTAAGAATGATGTCCAATCATAGTCCAGTTCGACTGTATTTCAATTGGGTTAGGGTTAGGGTTACATGGTTTTAGACCAGCATTAACACACAGTAATAGGATATATAATAGTAAAACCCTGGGCACTTTCCTTAACTCTTCAATGCTGCAGATGAATTAGAGGAATTCATGCCATAAATGTATTTAATTAATGCTAAAAAGCTGTGCAAGAGAAGTCCTGCAAACTCAACAAAGCAAGAGCAAAAATAGCCTTTGGAGTCAAACCCAGGATGTTCTTGCTGTGGGGCGACAGTGCTAACCACTGAGCCACGATGCAAAGAAACAAACAGGTCAACCCTATAAAAACCTAAAAGAAGTAAATGTAAAACAGCTGTTGACAGCAAGAAAGCAGTTAAGACAACTGAAGCACAGTTAATATGTCCTTATCTTTGCCAAGACCTGGCTTTTTGCATGGTTATGTGATCATGAGGACAGTGTCAAAATGCTGCGTTAAATTCTGTGACAGATAACGGAAAAGGTCTTTCCTTTGGGGGAAGCCTTTGTCGCCTGTTTGACCAAATCATGCCTCATTACTACTGTAGAAGTCATCGTGCTCCTGCAGCTCATCCAGTCATGCAGACAGATGGAACATTTCTTGAAGGAGGGTACATGGTTATTTCGTTTGCCCTTAATTAAATGTTTTTTTCCCCCTTGTTGCTCATAACTGCAATTAATTTTGTGGCATGCAAAAGTCCAGTTTATTCAAGGATATATTTAAGTAAATAGGTAAACTTTATTTATAAAGCACCTTTCAAAATCCGAGCTACAAGGTGCTGTAATGTACAATGCAAACATTTGAGTTGTTTTAAGTTTATAGCAAATAACAATATGAAGAAGAATAAAAACTACACAGAAGGCAAACAACACATTATAGGATAACGTGCTTACGGAGTTTTAAGCATTTCATGAGGACTTGTGTTTTGTCAGAGTTAACAGTTTGTTTGTTTGTGTGTGTTGCAGCCAGAGAACCTGCTCCTGGCCAGTAAGATGAAGGGAGCAGCTGTGAAGCTTGCAGACTTTGGTCTAGCCATTGAGGTGCAGGGGGACCAACAGGCATGGTTTGGTAAGAAATAAAATCCTAACCAACTTTAACCTTATTCATTCCTTATTTCAGCAGTAGTACAAAATATATATAAAATAATAAAATATAATATAATAAATAGGTTTGTACCAAATTGTATCTATTTAAAACTTTTTTTAAAGAAACCAAACAAGAGGAAGATGAGGAGCATAAAGAAAAGGAGAAATGTTGAGATAATGTCATTGTGCTCATTTGTCCAAAACACACACATGCACCTGAAAAAGCTTTTGTAATGCAGTAATCAGAAAGGCTTATGAACCCATAGTCCTACTCAAATCATGCAGTAATCAGAAAGAATACTGTATATTATTATTATGCTTTTATGGAGTTTCAGACAAATTTCACACAATTATGTTTTTTTCACAGGTTTTGCAGGAACTCCAGGATATCTGTCCCCAGAGGTGTTGAGAAAGGACCCGTACGGAAAGCCAGTGGACATATGGGCATGTGGTCAGTTTTTACCTCTTCTCTCTGTTTGTTCATATGCTCACTAATATTGATTTGGAAATGTATGCCTCTGAAGCTACATTTTACATGAACTTTATGTGTATATACAGTATGCAGTAAGGTGATACAGATTTTGTCTGTGTGCCAGGTGTGATCCTGTACATCTTGTTGGTGGGCTACCCTCCCTTTTGGGACGAGGATCAACACAAACTGTACCAACAAATCAAGGCCGGTGCATATGACGTGAGTGCTTCTCTCTCATATTCTTACTTACCTTCTTCTACATCTGTGTGTGTGAGCTACATGTATGTTGTTTGTGTGCAGAAGTTCAGTGCAATTTGCTTGGACACAGTTAACATGGCTTGACCATGATATAGAATAAATCTTAATGGTTACATTGTGCAACACTAATGCCCAGCAAGCTTACCATGCCTTGGTAAGTGGACTGAGAATATCTCTGACTGCATACTTATTTACTAGTCCACTACACGAACTAGACAAAACTGTTTGTTATTGTTCACACTTCTCTGGGAGTAACACCCACAGTCTCTGCCTTGGGTGTGCATTGTTGTTGTCATGGCAGGGGTTGCAGGCATCAAGCTTCACTCTTTAAACCCTTAGGGCCTTGTCTGATGAATTATGTTTAATGTATTGTAATTCTAGCTCTGTAACTCTGTTAGACTGCCACATCAGATGCTGAACATATTTTCATATATATATAAAGTTGATTAGACGAAAGTGTAGACAAACAGTTTATTAGCTAATTTACACATTCAGCAAAGCAGAGCAGCATTAACATTAATGTGGAGTCACCTGACAAATAGAAGTCTCATATTCACTCTTCATTTTAGCTCTGTTTTAGGTCTCCACCAACTGCTGAGGAAAATATTTTGGCTATATAGTTATTAAAAGCTCCACTATGTTCAACTGCTGTCTGTCTGACATTTGGTGCTGAGCATATATCATACATAGAGCTTTTCTGCTGAAAACTGCTGCCTGCTGCGGCTGAAAGAAAATGCTGATGAAGGCAGTGAGAGTGAGCTGCAGAAGTAAAGTTTCAGGCCTTGAAACCAAAAAAAAAAAGAGGTGAAAGAGACTATAGTGAGGTCCAGAGTCCAGTGAGGGTTTTTCGCTACAAGCAACCCCTGTCACATTAATCACTGAGGGGTTGGAATTACCTGTAACCCACTACAGCTCACATGGTAAATTCAGTGTAATATCTATACTATCAAACAGAAATTACTTTTGCCATTTCTTATTGTCGTCAACAAAACCATACACTTCTTAATTTTTTTTTCCCACATTAAAATCTGACCTATAAAAGAAGGGCTGCAAGACTGTGTAGGGTAGCTAACGTTTAATTGGTGAAAAGGGCAAAGTGAAACATCTGACGTGACTGATGCTGTACTGGTAAATTAGAAATAAAGGCCTGTTTCCCTCCGCCACAGAGGTAAATTAAAGCCACAATTGGAGAATTTATTTTGATCCATTATTAATATAAAAATATAGATTAGTGCAGCTTTAATAAGTGCCCTTATTTTATGGAGCTCATATTTGCGGGCTTGTCCCATGTTGGCCGACTGAGTTATTTTTACAGCGGATGAAGACGAGAGTTAAGGTCCGTAGAGTCTGTTGGAAAGCTCCATCTGTGTTCATGAAACTTGAATTCTAATACATAATCTTATCATAATTTATGTGAATTAGAAAAACAAGCACAGAGCCTGGAGATGAGCCCTACAGGACACCTTCAGTTCAAGTCTCGTCAAATAACACACTCTGAATGCTGTCGTGCAAGTAATTTAGAAATTTAATTTTAGTTTTTAATTGCTTGCTACTTGTTATTGCATGATTTTCCTCTTGCTGTAAAAAAAAAAGCAATACACTATGAAAGAGCAATAGGCTTATTTATCAGATCTTGTCATCGTCCTCTGGGAGATAGGAATTTATTACCCGTATTAATTTCCATAATTTGGTAGCAACCACATCTAATAAATGTGCATAATATGAGCATTGATACGAAGTGACTGTGACAAGCACTTGTAATAATCTGCACTATCCTGCAGATACCTAGAATTTCATTTCTTTTCTTTCTGTGAGTAATTGACAACTGCCACTTTAATGTTCGAAGTAAATATGTCTTGACAACTTACTTTGATTTTTAGTAGTAAAGCAGGAGCTTAATGCTTCCTGGATGGAGGAATGAGGGTGGTTGGTTTGAGTGACTGGAGTGAGAGAAACTACACTGACTTTGAAAACTCCACCTGTTACTACTGAAGAACTTTGAGCATTGTTTTACTCACCACAGTTAGAAAGTTGCTCAGCTTTTTCCTTCATTGTAGAATTCATGAATTATTTTTTTTTTTTCAAATTGTGTCATACTATTGAAATGATTGAATTATGATAAAAAATAAAGTACTTTCTAGCACAACATGAGCTGCAGTTTCCATTAAGCTGCAATTGCAGTCTGCATGTATTCAGCGCCTTTACCAATTTTTTAAAAACTGAACAGGTGCATTAGGAACCATTAAACATGTGAAGCAAAAAGGAGATGAAGTGATATAACAGACAAATCAAAGATGCAGAAAAACTAATCATGAGGCATTCACGAGGGAGAGCATGATAGAGAACGGCAGTGCCTGCAGTTGCAGATAGTGTTGATAGATGTTAAAATACTGAAGTAAGTGCAGTCAGATGCACTCCAAAATATCTTAATAAAAGAAATAAAAGTTCAGTTTCTGCCTGTAGTGGTTTTACAGTTCATTAATGGCTCAAATTCAAGTTTAATGAACACAAATCCAAACTCCCCATTCACTATTCATTGTGTTACAGTAATCAGATATTGTGTTGATAAATAAAAAAACAAATTGCTTTATTTTTGTCTCTAATAAAACATTCTGTGTTATCTACAAGTCTATATGTAATGCATGTTTCTTTTCATCAGCACAACCTTCTTTGTAGCTTGTGTAAATCCTTTTTGGACTATGTTTATGTTTGGTCTTAACAAGTTAAGATGAAACGCAGACTGCGACTCCAGCCTGTTGCATCTGTTTCATAAATGCACATTTGGGGTATAATGCGTCACATCTGCACCTGAAAAACAGCAGAAAATCCTTACTAACTCAAACTGGTCCAGACACATTTGCCTTCTGCCTTCAAGGAGATGTTATCTCAACTTATTTTTTTTTTTGTTAAATGAATTTAGAAGTATATATGAGTGCATATGCAAGTTTTAGGCCAGTTGTTATGTCATAAAATGTTAGATGAAAGATTAATAACAGTTATACACATTCCTAGGATTTATTCCTCTTTATCTCCCTTTTTCAGTTTCCTTCTCCAGAGTGGGACACAGTGACCCCTGAGGCCAAGAATCTGATCAATCAGATGTTAACCATTAACCCTGCCAAAAGGATCACTGCCGACCAGGCCATCAAGCATCCCTGGGTCTGCGTAAGTCACATTCATCGTCTTCTTTGGTTTCCATGTGAAAATAAATCTTTCTGGCATATTAAAATACTGGTGTTCGTGCCATTAGCCAACAATTGATGTCACAGTTTTACACTTCCTACCTTATTAAGCAGTCATGGACTCAATTTAAGAATACCTTTGCAGGACAACATTATCGAGAGCTGAGTGAAACTAACCCATTCAAAGCTCTCAGTTCATTTTTTTTCTCACTTTCTCAAGACTACATGTAAGAGCTTTAGACAGCACTAAATGTATAAGAGAACACCATGACCACAGAAATATGTGGCTGATGATATCCTCAATGTTACTATGAAAGCGGGTATAAAAGCTGGCTAATGAAATGATGGTTTATATTATGGTCATAAATACTGCAGTAACCATGAGCGTTTTGGTTGACTGTTAAGAAGAAACCACAGGAATAAATCGGAGCTGTACGGAATTTAAAGTGGTTCATTGTTGCAATTGTAAACAAAGAATGACACCATAGATGTTAAACTTATCCCAAATTGTGATTAAATGTTCCTTACCAAAATGCACTGCAATGCATTAGTTCAGGCAGGCCACAAAGTCAAGCTCAGCTAACAATCCCAGCTACATCAGCTAATCGCAGGTGATTGTAAACAGTATCCAATTGGCAAATATCATTCAGGGCGCCTTATTTAAGCTGCTTTAGCCTGCCTTACCTGACTGCTTCCTCTGCAAACTGCAGGATTCCATATCAGCAGTACCAGCTGCAGTTGCTAAATGCTAACATTGAAGGTCCCACTGGTGAAAAGTGCAAAAAAGCAACAAAAATGATTATTTAAATTAGGTGGTCATGGTATAGACACAATGCTGTACTTGGAGGCATCCTAAAATATTGCACTTGGTTGAAGCAACAGGACCCAGAGTTATCTATAATGTTGTTTTCTCTTCTCTGCATACAGCAACGGTCCACTGTGGCCTCCATGATGCACCGCCAAGAGACTGTGGAGTGTCTGCGCAAGTTCAACGCCAGGAGAAAACTTAAAGTGAGTATGGACACAGTCACACACAAGCATACACACACACACACACACACGTAACATTAATTCATGTTAATTTTTGTGTCTCTCTAGGGAGCTATCCTCACAACAATGCTGGTGTCCAGGAACTTTTCAGGTGAGCTTTGGCAGTGATACCAATCACACATCAAGAGACAATAATTTGATTTGGCCCATAAACTCCAAATGTGGCCCAGTGCTGTTGATAATACATACTTGAATGAAGCTGTATAAAGAAGCACCGGGATTTAGGGAAACAGTGCAGTTTTGTGATGAAAGAAACAATTCTGATTTGTTATAATGTTTAATAATAATGAAATTTCAGTTTTAAGTTGTTGACACTTTATAGCTGACCACTTTTTTCCAGATGTGATATCTAATAGAGGCCAAATGATGCTACTTCCTGCCTGCGATCTACTTTTCTTTGCCTGAATCTAGTTCTCTAAATCGCACCTTTTTATCCTTGTTCACATTTGCTTGTCAGCTTTGTCAACAGTTTTGATTTAGCACTTCAGAGGTTTGGCTTGGATTTCCTCCTCGTAAGCAGTTTGATCACAGAACCCATAGAGCACTTTTGATTGAACATCCAATTTGTGGGCAAGCCTATGGCCGAGCAAGCTAATGCATTAAGGCTGTTGGCCTTCTATTTATATGACTTCATGTAAGTAAAGCAGCTCCTGTGGATTACAGCCAACTACTTTCTACTGGTCAAGATTGGTCTGAAGAAAGCATGCGTGCCAGACCTCTGAATTGCTTCATACATAACTGTAGGCATATTTATCAAATTAATGTCCATGGAAATAAGAATAATAATTCCAGGGCGCAGGTATTTTGGTGCTGCAAAGATTTCCCCGTCTGCTACTTCACTTCATCCTAATAAAAAAGTGAGTTAGGTATCAGAGAAACACACTTTCTGGAAACCCGTGTTTTGTCATTCTTGTCTAATACTCTGAAGTTGATTAAACTTGAAAAAAATCCAGACAGTTAAAAGGCTGTCAGGCTTTAGCGCGGCTCTTGTCCCACCTGTGCCTCCACATTGAATCCCTCTCTGTCCAATAGTGGGACGGCAGCATACCAGCCCTGCCGCTACTACCAGCACGGCCGCAATGGCACAGGAAGGTACGTCTGCTTGAGGGGGTGTTTGGAGTCGGGCACTGCCAACTTCGTACTCAGGCTATTGGCATGTGGCCTGGGCTGCTTGAACCCTTCCACCTGCTGCCTGCTGTTACCGCACACTGATGGACCACTTTTGAATGGTCTTCATTGCACTGGGGCATCTTACACACACACCAACACACAAACATGTAAATGGAAACCACAAACGAAACTCAGCTCTTGACCTTCCAGTGCTGCTGCGTGTGTCGATGCTCTAATGAACAGAGCTCCTGTCCAGGACTGGCTATTTAATATCCTGTGTCGAACACAACAGCCATTTAACTGACACCCAGCATGACCCTCTGACCACCTTCCAACTACCGCAGCTGCCACCTAACAGAGCTGTTTACACATCTCTGCATTAACTCAACTGATGTAGGCTGGGTATCTTCTTCTCTGCAGCAGAACCACTTTAATATCACAAATATAAATAGACACGCCAGCATTGAACGTCCACAACACTCCCCGTTTTGCCTCCTTTGAATTGGTTTGTATTCACAGTAGTCGGCTGATGCCCAGTCGATGCCTGTCTGTCCTCGCTGCAACCTTCCCTCCGCATGGCTCTGGCACTAACAGCCAGCCAAGCATGTCGTGTATGAGCCCACAGTACAGTACAGTATGCCAACCTGCATGGGAAGCTGCATAAACAGAATGCACAGTGTCCTGTATTATCTATATTTCTTTATTTTCTCTCTCCTGCCTGCTCCTTTGTTTTTGTGTGAACAGACAAAACCACAAGAAACCTGAAGGTCTCAGTATGCTTCAAACAAAAAATAGAAATAACGCTTTTATTAACTTGATTATGTATTTTTTGCTGGTGGCCTTCATAGGGTCATCATCATACAACACATTAATGTTTCTTTGAAGGTCTATCCAATTCAATTCAATATATTATTCATCGCTCAAGGGGCAAGTTAGTGAGTGTGCAAACAGAGGTATACATAGCTAATTCATATACACACATAAAAAACTGATCTAAAAATACAAGTATGATATATGTTAGAACACATACACAAGGAATAAGATAAGTGAAAAGTGCAGGTGTATTAAGTCTATACAAAAGGTAAACTGACCTCACTGTGACTAGTTTCTAGTGGCGTCTGGAATAAAACCAAATTTCCTTCTACTTGTTTTACATACAGGCAATCTAAAACACATTCCTGATAACAACAGCTTAAAGTCGTCAAAGAGGACGTGTGTGGGGTTGTTGATGATGATCTTTTTTGTTCAGTATAAAGCTGGGGGGATCTTTGTGTTTTATCAATAATCTTAGAGCTGACGACAAGAACACCTTGCAGTCGGTTCAGTTCTTTTGACAATGCAATGTAAACCAACAAATGAAATGGTTAAAACAAGTTTATGCTTATGCTTCCGAGTGTCCATACATGTGCTCCTTTACCCCCATTTGTATGATTCATCGCGTGTCGTTCCTCTCTATGACAAAAAGCTTTTAGCAGTTTCTATTAAGCATACTGAACCCTTTACAGATCAGTCACATGACAAGGCGAGCCGCTTGTCGTTCATACAGGAATTATGTTTTGATCAACAAGTTGTTAATAAAGGATTTGTCTTTATGCTTCATTACGATTGTTAAATTTCTTCACTTACTGAATAAGATTGTTACACACAGTGTAGAAGTAAAGAATTGGGTTTTGATGAACTGAACTTAAAGGTTTCTGCTCAGTCTCATGAATGTTGGAAATGCACTCCTCAGCACTTTCTAAGATAAAGACTTTGAAGTGGATGCTGCATGCCAGACATGTTTATAACCCACTGTCATCGCATGAACCCACCACCTCCTGTGAAAATGATTAAAGAATGCCTTTTGACATACGGTACAGCCTGACAGGTGTTTGTGCCTGCAGTTTTCAGTTCAGATGTAAAGATGCAGATATTAAATACATTACTGTTTTCTTGCCTTCTTCATTGCCCTCCTTCCTACTTTATAAATGGAAGGTAAGGGAGGATCATTGGAACATGACTAACACAAATATGAGTGTTTATATACTAAGTGTGTGTGTGTGTGTGTGTGTGTGTTTAACTGTGTTTGTGTGCATGTATGTGGACATTCTTATTGAGTTTCCTGTTAGCTGTGTGTTTTGGTGTCATTTTTTGTATCTGTGGTCAGGTCTTCAGATGCATGCACATGATATTATGTCACTGTGGCTAGAAGGCCAACAGACAGTTTCACTTTACATGAACTGGTTGGAGAACAGTAGGTGGTGTTTGACCACCTGCAGGGACAGTCAACTATGGGAAATGTCAAAAGTTTGAATTTTTGTCTTCTTTTTTCTACTCGGCACCTTTCACAAAATCGTCCCAGTATTTAGATAAGTGTGAAAAGTAACAGCGTGCACAGCTCCAAAACTATAACAGTGTATCTGGTGCACGGTTGTAATAAGGGACTCGTCAAACAGAATCCTGGCACTAAGAGATAAATATCTTCTTGTTTATTGAGGGAGGGAAAAAAACCCTGACAGTGTGATGCTTACACTGACGATGGCTTAGAGCTTAAACATGTTAGTTTTTGGCTCTTATTTTGTCCTCAATAAACAAGAAGAGTGCCGGGATCCTTTTTGTTTTGTCAGTGTTACATTTTCCTTGGTAATACAAATTGATTATAGCGAGGAACTCAGAACATCAGGTTGTTTTAGCACCTTGTGGATTCAGAAACTCATTTACTCATTCAATTCACTCATTAGTTAATTTATTCATCCATTCATATTTGCTCCCTGGAGGCCTTCAGGAGGAAGGCTGAACCAGGATCAATTCATCACTTACAGTATTAGTTGTACTGCTGAACTGTGTTGTGCACTAAATGACACCATGCTGAAACTTATTTTAGTGTCAAAGTTTTTTGTTTTACCTGATTTTAATTGTATATCATTTTAACTATTTAACTATCACATAATTTTACCTTACTATCTCTATAGTTTTTACTTAATATCAAAGTCAAACATTTGATCCTGTACTTACCATTTTTGAGTTGATCATGTGAGCTTTTTTCTTTTCATGGTGGAAATTGGCTTCAATACAAACCTCAACTATGTCCCAGAAGGAACTTGTGGGAGTTGAGTTATTAGACTCAACAAATTCACCAAGAGTATATTTAGACAAAAGAATATTATGAAAAAGGGTAAAAATCTGTGTTTTGTTTCTGAATTTTTAATCATTTTTTTTCCATTTTCCAAGTTGACTTTTCATTTTTAGTTTGCTATTTCTGTATCAATATCAAATTATGTTTGGAAACATTTGATATTGGCCCGATTATCCCCATTAAAAGAATGGATTGTCCCTTATACAGAAATTCTACTCTTAGAAATATTTATGTGAAATCAGGTGGACACTTCTACAGGCCTGATAATGACCTTTTTATTGGACCATTTTTATCTTTCATTTGTCCTGCTAGCTAAGTGATCTCAACCATCTTTTCTGTCTTTCTTTCAGCATGCAAAACCTTACTAAACAAAAAGTCGGATGGAGTGAAGGTAAGTTCTCTGACCCATGAGGGTTTTATTGACTTTACTGTTTCTGTCTTACTTAATCTTCCTATCTTTGATTGTCTCCCTTTCGGTCTGTCACCCTGACTACTCTCTACTAACATGTGTCTTTGATATTATGAGCATATGGAAAAGCAATATGTTCTTTTAGTTGGATTACCTTTGTGCTCTGGTGCTCTTTTGTTTTTATTGGTTTTTTTTTGTAAGGTCTATTAACTGTTTGTTGCTAAGGGAAAAGGAGTTATCTTAAAAATCATGTTTATGAGTCAGCAGTTAAATTATGGGGCACAGGTAATACAGATCTGAAATGAAAATGAAGACCAATAGGCCTTTTAAAATGCTGTTTGTTTTTTTTACCACCAGGTTTTTGTTGATTCACAGCAGTTCGAGCTACCATCATGTCTTGGTGCTCATTTAGTTTTGATCGAATGTCAGTGTCAATGCATGCAGTGAAGCGCCATGATCAACAAGGGCCAAAAAATAAAATTCCCATTACATAAAGTACCGTTAACAATATTAAACCCAACATTAAACAAATAAACTGCACAACTCCCTGTATTGTTTTTTCTTCTGAAGTCCTCTTAGTATCCCTTTGTCTCATCATTGTTCCTGTGTAAGCTTGTGCAGCTGTTTTGTTTTTCTCTCTTTCTGGGATCAATCTGGCAGCTTCACTTTTTTAATATTTTTGATTAGCTCCTTGTTTCCCGATGACCCCTTATTTTTTTCCTCCTCCTTTCCATTGCTGTCTGTCAGAAAAGGAAGTCCAGCTCAAGTGTTTGTTTGATGGTGAGATCGGCTCTGTCGTTTTCGTTCATTTTTCATTCTTTGTCTTCTGAGTACCCCCCCCTCCCCCTTTCCGGATCCTCCCCTCCCTCCTCTCTGCTGTTTCATTTATTTGCTTGTTTTCTTTTGGGCAGTGATGCTTCAGGCGTCGTCTATAGCAGTTTTCGTCTTGTCCGAATTCTGTCCATCCAGCATCCCTACATCCCCTTCTACCATTAGTGCCACCAAAACCATTTCAACTCCTGACAGATAACACACACACACACACACACACACACACTCACTCTCACCCTTTCCAGTTATCCTCTTTCGATGTCTGACCCATCTGTGTCTGGATGATATCAGGCATTTTGGCTTACTTACCAACATCCCTGACCCATCACAGGAGTGAGGAACATATTAATCATCAATATACAATCATTTCCCCTTTTTTATTTTTGTATATTTATTGTACCCTCATTATTTTTCATTTGAGGTTTTTTCCCCTCTTACTGTAAATTAAACAGCTGTCTTGGTCGCCTGCAGATAATCACCACCATTCAACTAGACTGTTCAGGCCTGATAGATATATAAAGTAATAAAGTAAAAATACATTGACATTTTAAGATATTAGTTTTTCTGTAGGTTGCTCTCTTGATCTTTTTGATTAGCTTCTTTTTATGCATTGTCAAAATAAAACAGATTTTTTTTTTTACACACACTAACAAACTTATGCTAAAAATATACTGTAAAAATATACTGTAGGGCTGGGTATATGATACAATAGTTTCAGTACTGACACCAAAAGGGTACTTTTTTTAGATATCTTTCTGAGAAATGGAAACAGTTTTTTTCTATACAACCATTTTTGTCATTCAACAAAAGAAACCAAACCTCTCAAATGTCACAGAGACCACCAGAATACTTTTTTAAAGTCATACTGGGGTATTCAAGTTGTAGAAAACATCTGAAAAACCTCCCTGCACTTTGCTCTTGAACTTTTATTGACATAATCCCTTCATCCACACCTATTAACTTTCTTGTTGGAATACTGATTTGCATTCAGGAAGCTTCTCTTTTCCTCTGGTTACCCCGAGGCTGAAGGGAGAGTCCAGCTCAAACTGTGTTTTCTGGTTCACATCACACATTCCATCTCTAATCTGAAGTTATAATCTATACCTCTGTTATGCAGCCGATCTGTTCTGGCTTCCAACATAACAGGACCAAAATAAGTGTTTGAGTTAAGTATGACAAGAGACAATGGAAGAATAAAATAGATAATGATAAAAATTTAAACAGAAGAGGATAAAATATGACTTTTTAAAATATGGATCAAGTTCCAAAAACACTAGATCCTACATTTCCCATAATGCAACCATCTTTTTGTCAGTCCCTCTCTGCCTGGTATGCCTATGTTTTCTCAAACTCTGCACCCCTAGTTTGCAACACTTTGACATCATCTGGGTTATTTTTTATTTTTTTTCAAACTCAAAAATAAAACTCCTCCAGAGCTACAGACATTATACAACTACAGGGACTGTTATTTCACATAAGAACCACCTTGAAACCACACTTACTGCTTAAAATGTTAAAAATTATTTCCAAATCTTTTTATGTATCTTTTTATTGGCAAGTTAACATTTGATCAAGATTTTAATTTAACTAATTGTTCTAAACAATAGGGTGAACTAAGCAGTTGCAGTAATGCTAAAGTAGTTATTGTGGATCAAATAGTATTGTCTTCAAGTTGACTTTGCACAAGCTAAAGGAGGGAACAACAAACAGTCCATGCCTTCATGCACGCACACACACTGTTCTCCTCGATTAGAAAAAATCCTGTCATCAAGGCCTTTCACTACATGCACAGACCTGGACTGGTAATCATTATAATTAACTTATTTTCTGACTCGGTTACACATATTTTGGCTGTGTTGCTGCCAGAAATGGGCCACTAATTGCTGGCGCTTGTGTTAGATACAAACTTGTGATTTCTCTTTGTATCCCAGCAGATGTTGATTTATCTTATCTGTAAAAGTGCTGGGAAAATACTCCAAATCAAAATCAATCCAATATGTTCATTGTTTTAAAATGCATGTGCTGACTAACTTTTTTTTTTTTTAATGTTTAAAGTTGTAGGTATTAAATGCAGTTATACACCAGGACACTAGACTCAAAGAGCCCTTCAGTCACTCAATACACAACATAATAGAAGTTGAAAGTACTCATTGCAGTTAAACAATTAGTTAGGGAGTCAGTGCACTCACCTTGTTTCAGAAGAACACTTGTTTTTACAATTTACTGATGATCAAAAAAAGGGTTGTGTTATGGATTGGCATGTGCACAACACACCTACAACAACTGCCCTTTAAAATGCACAAAGCAGCAGGGTTCAGATGATTAATGTAGATATTCAGATAAATCAGTTTAGCACTGAACCAGACTGTGCACTTACTCACTTACTATATGTGGAATATTTGTATTGGCTCTGTTTCTGTTTTCCACCTCAGATTCCCATTGGGTGGTTTATGGTTTAGACCCAGTGGGAGCAGTGAGAGTCATTCTGTGTTGTGTTTCTTTGCCCCAGTCGCAGGGAAACAACAGTAAAAACAGTGTAGTAAGCAGCAGCAGCACCAAAGACAGCAGCATGTCATCTTCAGCACCAATGGTACTTCATCTCTATTTGGTTTCTCTCACGTTGCTTTTTATGGCATCATTTCACCGTTTCCATCTTTTTAATGTTTAGTTCTGTCTCCTCGTCTTTTTGTCACATCCCATGTTAAGTGAAATCTTCTCTGTACTTTGTCCTCTTTCTCGTCCTTCATCCTCTGCCTCTTTGCTTCTGTTTTAAACACAAACTGTGATGTTGGCAGTGGATTTTGACGATTTAAAAAGAAAAATGTACTTCTTGTTCCTGCCTTTGAGTGTCTCTCCTGGCTTGCGTTTTACCCAGACCTCCTGTGGACACACTTGTATATTTATGCAGTGCACAACACTGACAGGTAGACAAATGACTTTCATTTTGCAGTACAAGAGCAGACACTTCAAGTTCTGCTCAGCCACATCGTGGTGACTCCTCTGTGTGTTCAACTGTGTCACCTGAGCTTTGTTGATGGTTTGTCTTTGAAGAAAAACACGGAAAGCAGAGCTCAAAAACAAAACTTGAACTTCTACTACATCAAAGGAGGCCCTTTACAAATTGCTCTTCGATATGTGAATTTTTTAAATGTTGAGGACTTCTGGGTAAAACAGAAGCAGGAGTGGATGGGAAACAGAGAGATCATAACTATGAGGATGCAGCCCCTGTGTACATACACGTAATGGGATTGAGCCATAAATATGGCAAGAAAAGTGCTAGAAATCATTAAAAACAAAATCTTGCTCTTACAGCTACGTACAGAATTTCATGGCTAAATCTATAAAACTAATTGGATAGCTGTTAATCCAGTGATACAATTGCCCTTGAAATTACTAAGTATATATAAATATAACAGTTCAAACATCCTGTAAAACCACAATGTGACATGACATTTTTATACTTATTTTTTTGTACAGATTACACAAACAGGACAAAATGGGTTAATTAGTGACCTTTAGACATGCTGGTCTACATATTTTGTTCCCTTTGGAGAGTGCCAGGCAAGCTGTTCCCTTGTCTTCAGACTTTGTGCTAAACTATGCTAACAGGCTGCTGGCGATAGCTTCAGATTTACCATACAGACATGGGTCAGTATTGATCTTCTCATCTCACTCTGTGCAAGAAATTATACATGATACCTTTTCCTAAATAATGCCAGTGCTGAATTCTGTATACCAGTAAATGCTAGTAAGCTGGATGCCACAATAGCAAAATTGAGAACACTGAGGCAAAGCCTTAAGCTAAAGATTGTTTTCCCTCAGACTGGTTAAGGATTTCCAGTCTAGATTTCATATCTACACAATCCCATATGTCATTTAAGGGGCTGCATGTTCTAAGGTTGTAGTTCCCAGATGTTGGGTCCAGTGTTAATCAGGATCTGGGGCCTGAGTGTGTGACTCACTGACGGTATACTGTGGGTTTGTTTTCCCAACAATGCAGTACTTGGAGCGCTTGAATTGCTTTGTGCTAAATATTTCTGTGGCAGGGTCAAGACTAAGGATGAGGAGTGGTTACAACACAATCACAGTGCCTAATGCAGCATTCACGCCATATAGGTTGTGATGGGAAAGATTCACATGGTCATAATTCTGAAGTGTACAGGGCATCAGACAACTCAACTACTAATGTCATTTATGCACTGAATAAAGTAATCTAGTGTTGAGCTAGTATCATACAGCATGTTGAGGTAAAACCTAATGTGCCTTTACAAGCTTAGCATGAACGCAACTATGTGTAGATTTTGAATGTGCTTATAGCAAAACTATTCATTTTACCTCATACCAAGTGGTGCCAGAACAACATTTTTGATTCTTCACATACTGACTTTAAATTGATTTACCTTAAATGAGGGACTGATAATAACCTCTGCTAAAGTGAGAACAGCTGATGAACTGAGATAAAGGCCTTTATCAGTCCTGACATTGATAGCTTATTTTTAATGAAAGGTAAGATCACTCTCATCACTCTTGCGGTGCTCTTATGACGGCACAAGTTATTGGAATGTGATGTATGTGATTCCATATTCCAAAAATACAGTTTTTGGAGTGCTTGCCTCCCTACAGTAGTTCATGAATGCATCAGTGTTTTTTCTTGTCACTTCACCCTGGATATTGAAGCTCAGGTACCCACTACTTTTATAAAGTTGTGCAATAAATTCCAGGTGACACAAAAATAAAAGAACTCACCCTTTCCTGCACATACAATCACTCAGAGCCCTCCTCCTCAGTCATGGCCCTGTATGTGTGTTTTCATGCATTTTGGAGGCTCTAAAATGATCCTGTAGGCCACAGTGCTGGTGAATGGGGAACTGAATGAGAGCCTTGACATCTTCAATTATCTATTTGAAACACCATAAATGCTCCACAGCCTTTGTACTGTAGCTCCTGTGCTTTTGTTTTGGTGTGCGCACATTTGTCTGTTTTGTATGTGTGTCGTCATGGAATAAGTTGGTATTCCCTGGCATCTTCTCTGGTGCCCCCTCCCCCTCCTCCCCACCCATCCCCTTCCTGCATGGTAAAGTGTCTCCTACCTCCCCCCAGGAAGCCCAGACAACTGTTGTACACAACCCAGCTGATGGCACCAAGGTAAGCCCCTCCTTCTCCCACCAATAGCCACCAGCCACTACTAACACTCGCAGGTAACTCGTGGAGGATTTTCTCTAAATATATTCCATACATCGCTGTCAAAACAACTGTAACTACTCTCTACGCTTCATTGTGCACCTAATGTGAGCTGGCTTCTGTCGCCATGTTTCATTATTTTTCTTCCTGATTACCAGAAGGGATTTCACCCCAGAGTTGAATCCTGTGAACTCCCCAAATCTCAAAGCAGATCAGTTCAGCTCCTGCTTGTAGTGAAGGTGCACCATTATGGAGCCACCAGAATATAGTTAGAGTTTCAGTGTTTTATCATACTCAATAAATGAATACATTTAAAAATACATTCAAATTTTTACTGATTTTGAATTATTGGGCAGTTTGTCTCGACTTTTCCCAACTTTAGTCAGACAAACTGTGATATTCTGCTTGATTAATTACTTTATGACCCGTATGTGTATGTATCGGACAGATCAGGACGCATCTCATCACGTTATTAGTGTTAGGTACAAGATGATGTTTAAACAGTTGATTTGTTCATAAAATGCTTTGCCTTTGTTGTGTGACGTAACACTGTTGCTTGTTTTCTCTGAAGCTTCAAAAGCTAAAAAAAAAATAAATATTAGTTTTGATAAAAATGTAATTTCTTCTGATTTTAGGCACTCCTTAGGAAATTGATTATGATTAAACACTGTAAAATTACATAACTATTCTGGTCGTATCCTTCAGGATCCATACAGCATCAAAGCTAATTTTAAAATTTATATAAAAGAGAAAATCCCACACGTACCGTCTTTAACAGTGGCACACTGACAAATATATCTTAAAAATTTTGTCCGACTTTCTACTAAAATAGGAACCAAATGTCATTCTGCTTGCGCTGTTATGTTGGTGTACAAGCTTGCAAAACACTAGATCACTAGATATTCAAATGCTAGTGCTGTTACACAATTTTCTTTACATTGACACTTTTCTCACTAACACTTGCTGCACTGGCTTCCTCTGGAGGAGCAGTTGCACACTAACGTGCACACTCAACACTTCTTCCTGTTAAATTCAGTCACATCTTCAAATTCCACACACACCTTGTTGCTCTGATATGTGTGGCTCTCTGCGCTGCTGTCCTGGCTGGTTTGTGCTCCTGGGAGGGAGTCGTCCACTCGTCCATCTGTCTGTCATGTTATCTGTGTGTCCATATGGACAAAGTGACCAAAGCTTCCCAACCCTGTCTCTCTTACACATAAAAAAAATGATTTGTCTTGCTATTTCTCTTTTCTCCCTTTATCCATCTGTCTCTCTTTTCACCCATTCCTCTTTTCTCTCTTTCTGTCCCTCTCTTTGTCTCCTCTCTGTCTGACAGGGCTCCACAGAGAGCTGTAATAACACAGAAGAGGAGGAGATGAAAGGTAGGAAAGGTACTTGTCCAACTTTCACCTACTCTGCATGCCTGTTTTTGCTCCCTTTACATCTTGTCCAGGTTTTGTCACTCTGTTAGAGAGCTGTTATAATACATTTCATGCTGTATGTTTCACTTTATATTAAAAGTAATACAGATTTCACTCTCGCTTCAGACAGGGTAGTGGAGGCTTGAAGATCCAGTATAATTTACTAGTGACAGGTGACAGATGCCTTTGAGTATCATAGAGAAGACAAAAGTGACACAAAATCAATTTTTGCTCTTGTCTCCATTTACGCCCCCCTACAAACTGATGACATGGTTGTGTAGAGCTTCGTAATCAAACAGCTACTTTGTCCGTCCTCTTTCTACTCACTCATTATAAGTTGCTCTGGTTGTTTTAAATTCTCACTGACATGTCCGTTCATAGGAAGAGCTTTTTCCACCAAAAGTGTGTATGTATCTGGTTCTGTTGGGTAAAGCTAGGTGATAATTCATTATCATCCATCGATTTTCAGAGAAATTTATATTCAGTTGTCCAAATTGATGATTCCATGTTTTTTTAAATGGGATAAACATTTGCTAACTGTGCTAACACAGTTCATTCATTTTAATTAGGTTATTTAATATTCATTGATTAGCAGAGCTGAAACTATTATTTGGTTAATCAATTAGTTGATAGAAATAGTAAATCAGTTTCAAGTTTGATAATTAGTCAATTGTTTGTCAGTTTTAGGCAAAAATGCCAAAAATCACTGTCCAGATTCTTAAAGGACCAGTGGGTAGGATTTAATGGGATCTAGCGGTGAAGTTGCAGATTGCAAATAACTGAACACCACTCGTGTTGGTATTTGACGAGGGAATGAGAACGGTCTGTGAAGCGTGTAGGAGAAACTACAAAACTATAAAAACGTGCAATACCCTGTAGAAATATGGCGATTGAACATGGCAGACTCTGTAGAAGACTCGGTTCATTCTAAGGTAACAAAAACACAATTATCCTTATTTCCATGTGATTATACACTAAAGAAATGATACCTCTGAATATTATATTCCATTTCTGCCAGTAGATCCTACTAAATGTTGCACACTGGACCTTTAAATTCTTTGCTATAATAGCACAAATGGGAAAAAAGTCAAATAATGCAGCATGAAAAGTCTTTGTGGTTGTTTGAATCAAACAGCCGAATGATAAAAGTATTTTTATGTAAAGCCACCATCTACCTTTACCCATAGGCAAGGGGGTACATATGTGGGTACCTGAACCTCATTTTGATTGCTGTTGTGCGTGAGTGTGTGCATGCCAGTGCCACACGCCGCTTAAGCCTTTTATTAGTCGTCTTCAGCTCGGTAATGACCCTTTTAATGTTTGCAGGTGAATGAAGTAGGACAGAGCTGCCTGCAGTTAATCCAGTTACTTAAGGCAGCTGTCTGTGGGTTTACCAGCACTCGATCTATAGTGGATGATCACTGAAATGCAATCGAGTGGCTGTTTTGTGTCTTATTCTGAAGTTGAATGCATTTATTTTAAGTAGCTTTGGATGAAAGCATCCGCTAAATGAATGTAATGTAATTTCTCTTGTCAGCTCTGAAATAAAAACTCACACTTTTAACATGAAAATCACAAGCTCAACATATGTAAAGGCCTCTACGATGAAGCACAGGTTGGCATGCTGAAGTGACCAGAATGTCACATAGTCTTGTAACTAACTTATAAACCCAGTTTTACCCCCACACTTTAAACTAAGCAATGTTTGAACTTGTGCATAGCTGGTGCAGCAGGCTGCTGATCTCCATGTGGGCTTGATGATCGGGCATAAAGCCTCTTAAAGGTTATTCAGTTTGGAGCACAAGTGAGCTGAGAGGTTTGGCTCCGTGGGGTGGTTTGTGCAGCTTATTCGGTTCTTACGTTCTGATGTCTAAATCCGCTTGTGGTGTGTTGTGATTTGTGAATTATAATACTAGACTGTAGAAACATTTAGTTAGTTGATCAGTATGAAATGCTTGAGAAATGATTCATTGATGATTAAAATAGTTGCCGATTAATTTTCTGTCGATTGGCTGATTCTTGATTCATGGTCTTGCAGTATTTTTTTTTTTTTTAGCATTTTATGGACTAAACAATCGATTTATTGAAAAAATAATTGATAGATTAATTTCTGAGTTCCTCTCAGACTCCCTGTGAGTGTGCATTTGTGTGTTTGTCTTGTGTTGGGGGCAGTGGCTGCCTGTGAGTCTGCTAGTGCAGACAGTGCAGTGTTCAGCCAGTGCAGCACTACTCAGGAACAGGCCCAGACCCCGTCTCCTCACTGCCCACCGCCCACCTGTAAGTCGGCTGCACTTTACTTGATTCAACTCTCAGCTCTGACCTTTGTGTCCTGACCTTTGTGTCCTGACCTTTCCTTTCAACAACAAATCTACCTTACAAGCAAAACAAGACATTTGTCATTAAAAAGGCTCCACATAAGTAAGACTTTCCTTTTCCACTCTTCCCACCAACTTGTGCACTTGCTCCCCTCTGCCCTCCTGTGCTGCCATCTACTGGCACCCAGGCCTGACTGCAAGCCACTGTTTCAAATGTTTATCTATAACTGAGTAACTGTTTTTCTTATAATCACTGCTTGATATACTTTGTGCAGAAACAATGTTAAATAGTTATATTTAGCTTCTCAGCTTTGCTAAATATAACTTTATTCTACTGGGATGACTGTACCTGCCTGCAGCTCGTCCCCTGCAGGAGGCTGCTAGCAGCCCCAGTGTCCTTCAGACCAGTCCATCTCAGAGCTCCTGCCCTGAACCAGAGTCAGCTCTGTCGCCCCCCGCAGGCAGCAGCCGCAAACTGCAGCAGAGTAAGTGCCAGGCAGGTTGTGAAGTGTGTGTGCAAAGGCTCTTGAAGCAGTGTTTATACTGTATGTTCTAACTTTCTGCGCACATGATGGCAGAGGGTTTGAGGACTTCGGGAAATAAACGGCCTATAAACACAAAGTTACATGCAGGTGTGGAGGATTTGCTAGCTGGCTTTGCTGGCTCAGCAGCTGCATGTTAGTTAAATAGTGAACAAAACACTTTCCGTGTGTGTTCATCTCTGCTGGTTTATTCTCATCTCAGTTCAAACTGACTGTTCTGTATGTCTGCATGCAGTTTGTGCTTCTCTGGTGTGATGAACATTTCTTGAGTTTTATGTCCCTGAATTCTTTGGTGTATCTGAGTAATTACTTGCCTGTTCCCAAATAATTGGGAATTTTAAATTAACTATATTGCAGTTGATTTTATTAGTGTGTGTTTTTGGAGTTTTTTGGAAAATCTTTGCACTTAACTGAACCTAATTGAGCTGTTTCTCACCAGACGTTACAGATGGCTTCCTTCCAGGAAGCTTCTGGCAGAAAATTTACTCTTAGCAGCGCATGTCCTGTTTGTGGTGATATTTTTTTAAGTAACTTGGTTAGTTTGAGGGTTTTCTGAACAGAAGGTTGGTTTTGACATACGTATAGAAACATGCTCTACTGATCAGTAGAGATGTTTATTAATATTGTATTTGTTGTAGTTGTATTGCTGATATTTTTATTAAAACTGAATATTTCTATGGAACACAAAGTCTTCAGACTATTATATTAACAATAATTCAAATATTATTATAATATTAGTATAATGTTATTGATTGTGATGTTTGGTCTCATTTAAAACATTTTCAAGGTAAATATAGCGAGTTAACAGGTAAATAGAAGGTGATAATGATATAGTAAAAATGATTCAAACTGATTCAACATGCCAAATCTTTAAATACTGTTATTTTATTTTAAAAAACAGGTTCATACTTTTTTTTTTTTATTTAGTGCCCAAAACAATTTACTGTTTGTTTTCTGGGTGAGACCCTGAAAGATCTTTGTTAAAGCTTCAGGTTTAGTGGCACATGGACTCTTAGTGTTATGTACATACAGCATCAGAAACTCTTGATGCAGTGTTTAAAATGGAGAGTGGACAGTGTGGTGTGTTTTGTACAGGGTGACTTAAAATGTCACTTACCAGAGGCATTTCCTGTGTGATGAACTTATTTCAAATGTCAGAGGTTTCAAGTAAGCTCAGGTAAAGCACGAGGAGCATTATTAGTATGTTCAACTTCCAAATGATTTCTGACTGTCTTTAACCTCTTGTCTTCCCCCTTCCTCCTCCCTCCCTGTCTGTTCTTCTGTGTTCAGCTCGTAAACAGGAGATAATAAAGATGACAGAGCAGTTGATTGAAGCCATCAACAATGGGGATTTCGAGGCTTACACGTAAGTTTGCAGCTTAAACAATAAACCTTTGTGTACTTTGTGTGACATTATCTTTTAAGTGCCTTGTTTTAAGCTAATTTTTTGTCTTGTTGAAAACATTTTGTCACTTGTAACACAAAGGAACTCTTAATTGATTTCCCCATGAAATCCATACATGACTGTAAAGTGCTTGTTTTTGGTCCAATGCTTCACTAGGTAATATAAGAAAATTGCAATTGGTTCAGAATAAAGCATTACAGTGTGTTGTGTAAGTGTATTATGAGAAGCAGTGTCAATGTGTATATGTATATATGGTACTGTCCCATTCTTCACTGCAGGATAAATTAAAGCTAAATAAAGCTAAGGTTGTGTTTTCCTCAAACAGGAGAATCTGTGACCCTGGACTGACTTCCTTTGAACCAGAGGCTCTTGGAAACCTTGTGGAGGGCATGGACTTTCACAAGTTCTACTTTGAGAACCGTAAGTCACTCAGTGTTCTGTATACTTAGTATACCTAGTATTTGTATATTTGTTTGTATTAAGTCTTCATCAATTTACTGCAGTGCTTGTTCATTCTCTTTGAAGCTACACGATAGTAGACCTTTGTTGACAAGAGTTTAGTCTAGTTGTTTTTTTTGTCAAAGTAAAATGAATGTGTGTTCTAAAGTCTACAATAATACAGCTGGAGGACCGTGTGCACATGTATGACAAAACAGGAACCCACTTTAGCTCTACTAGTGGTCAAAAACTGCACCGGGTAACTTTAAATTAAGTTTTTAGGCATGTAGATTTCTCTTTCTACAAGAATTTACTATGTGTGAAATACAATCTCCTATCAGAAGTGACCAAGCACATCATCCAGATAAAAGACAAAAAGATTTGATCTTTTTACCCCTCTGTGTATGACTGCAAATAACGGTTATTTACATTATTGAGTTTAATATTATAGAAGACTAAGAAAAACAGCAAATATTCACATTTTGAGAATTTTGGGCATCTTTGATGAAAAAAAAAAAATGACATCAACTATCGTAACTTGTTCAAATGAACTGACTAATCATTGCAGCTGTGAAAGCTTTGGTATAAATTATCAGAGGGATGGAGGCAGAATATACTTCTCCACCTTAACAGAACTTTAAGGTTCAAGTTGAGATTCAAGAGTTTCCAAACATAACTAATGTCGTACAAAATGATATGTGAGACATCTATAAAATAACCATTTATTAAAGTCAGTGTGAAATGATCCGTTTATAAAATCACCACCACCTCTCAGTTATGTAACCATTTGCTCCTTCGGCCATTTGAAGCTGCCAACATGTGTTGCCTATGGCAGCTGTAATATGCCTAATGTTTTCAAATTCGGTTCCTTTGCTACACACTAACACCTGACCAGTCCATTTACAAACAGCTTAACTGTACATTTCCCCACAGTGCTGAGTAAAAACAGCAAGCCAGTGCACACCACCATCCTCAATCCCCACGTCCATCTGATCGGCGAGGATGCCGCCTGCATCGCCTACATCCGCCTGACGCAGTACATGGACAGCCAGGGCCGACCGCGCTCCTGCCAGTCGGAGGAGACCCGTGTGTGGCATCGCCGGGATGCCAAATGGCTCAATGTGCACTTTCACTGCTCAGGAGCACCGGCTGCACCCCTGCAGTGAGCTGAGTACGCAGGCCCAGGTAGGGTGATAACGCCTCACTATTATGACGGTCCGAAGGGTGCAGTAAAAGTTTTATGCTGGATGCATAAAATGATTATGGTCGACTGAGGGTTTTTACAGTGCAGGCAGCATGTAATGAATAGACAAACATCATGATTTTACTAGCTTCACATCATTTGAAATCTAATTTAAGATTAATTAAGAAATTGAAAGATTTAGGGTTGCAAAAGACAAACATACTGATGGTTATATACCATTTCCTTTTAGTTTATTATGGAATACATTTTGCAACACACGTTGCTTTCTTCCCAAGAGTTAGATAAGAAGCTCAGTTCTCTCTCCAAGAAATAGTTGCAGCTTGTGACTCTACCTAAAATTACAAATCGTTGTTCTTACAAGCAACATACAGCGTGTTAATTGTGAGATTTAGAGATGTGTTTTGGAACAGACAGAGCCAGGCTACTGTTTCCCCCTGCTTACAGTCTTTATGCTAAGCTAAGCACAGCACATCAAATACAGCAGATATATTTAAATCAATCCAATACAACTACTGACACTGCTCCATTTGTTATGATTTTGTCTGCTGATTTTTCCCAAAGCAGTGCCTGCAGCTCTGTGATGTGAAATTATTCTTATATGGCATTTGTGGGACTGAAACTGGAAAGCGGAACAACTTTCTTTATAGCAGTTTGGTGGCATTGATTACGCCAGAGCTCACAAAAAACACTTCACTATGAATAGGGGACATTTATCAGAAGAGCAATTTTCAGCACGCCTCTATACCATGGAGGCAATGTGAGAATTCTTCTTTTTGTAATTTAGGTAAACTCCTCCTTAAAGACCGTTTGCACACTAACCGTTGTATCCTTTCTTCTGCAGCTTTGCCTGAACTCTAAAGCTGTTTGGAGCATTTATTCTCCGTGGTCGGATTGGTGCCTGGATCCTGGCCGGGATGAGGCTGCTTGGAAAGATGTACAAAACACAAAAGTGGGGAAAATACATTATAAATAAAAAAATAAACAAACAAACAAACAAAAAAGCATATTTCAAAAGCTTGACTGAATGACCGACCACACCAACCAACACCAATCCAGTCTAACCCTAGCTAGATGAGGTCGGGGCCCGGCTGTTGTCAGTCCCTTTCTTGCAGATGGTGCATGCTTCTAGTGGCGACACAGGGGTGATGCTGTCCTGGTCCTTTTTCTCCCATGGCCTTTATTTCCCCATCTTTGTTTTGTCTGCTGTCTGGAAAAGTATTAACATGTTCAAATATATATATATATATGTAACAACAGAAAAACATGTACACTTAACACACATAGTGAAAGGGACTGGGGCGGCGAGTATAGTGTGTGGAAAAATGTGATTTCAGCAGAAAGTATACTTTAATAAAAGTTTTGTTTGGTTTAAAGTTAACAGGTATATTTGGGTGGGGTTTATGGGAACGGGAGCAACTAATATCTACTTAATATCAGAATTTAACACCTATTTTGTGTGTCAGGTTTGAGCATCTGTACACAATGTTTTAAAGGGGTTTAGGCATTGTGATACGTTATTGAAGGGACCTTTATTTTTATTTCGTCTTTTTGTATTATGTGTTATTAAGCTGTTGGTTTTTATCTCTTAAATGATGTATTTTAAAGTATTTTGTGTTTAAAAAAAAAAAAGGATAATTTTTAATCAAAAGGGGGATTTTATTTAATAGAATAGTGTATAAATAGATATTTATATAAGCGAAAAGGGGAACATGGTTTACTTTCAGGGTGTAGGGAGGGGAGTTAAGCATGAGAGTGGGTGTTTTTTTGGTTTTTCAGCTTTGAGGTCCCGAGGTGTAAATACAAACACACACACTCACAAACACTCCCTGTGCTCTAGCTTTTATGGGCTGAGCTTCTCTTGAGCTTTAGACACAACGTCCAGGCCAGCTCATCCTGAAGTTGCAGAAGGCCTTCATCTGTCTGCCCTGCAGTATTTGGAGTCGAACACTAGGAGGTGCCATCAGTCAAAGTCTAAAGCTCCTCACGTCTCTGAACTACCTATTCTGAAAGCACGGACACACTCTCACGCCAACTTTTTAAGTTTTCTTTAAACAGTTTTTGTGTATTTTTGATGTGAAGCATGAATTAATTGAACTATCTACTGGCCTGTACTGTTTTTGCACAGACACTTAAGACTCGATGCTGTTGCGTTCGCTCTTCTGAGGGAGTGAACCTTTCTGCAACTTCAGGTTACGCTCGCCAAAATCCTTCCCCTCCACCCTACCTCTCCCGCACTACTTCCATCATTCCTGCCTCTTATCCTCTCCACATCTGTTACTCTTGTGATATTCGCTAACCAGCCCCATTACTGTCTTAGTAGCACCATCCCGTGTGATGATGATGATGATGATGATGATGTCACCCTTACGCCTGTCTCTTGTTCTGATTGTGTTCTTCAAAAAATATGTATGTAGTCCGTCTTGGCTTGCTGTACTTCTGTGTGAAGTCCCGGCACTATAAAAAGCATGTCGAAAAAGGGATTTCAGCCGAGATTGGACAAAACAGAGGCATTATGGGTAGAGGGCTATGCTGGCTCGAGGGCTGTGGGACCTTTTGCTGATGGCAATCAATGGTTTGGTCCCTAACCGTTTCTGTTGTAAACGTTGTAGTTGTTAGTGTTTTGATGTTGATATTTTTATCGGTTTTAGCCAGAACTATAAAAACTGCTGGTTAAAATGAAGGGAGGCTGGGACTGCCACAACCCTTTTTTACTGTCCCTGTTGTCCCCTCGCACACTGATTAATACACACACACACACACACACCGGATGCAGAAATCTTGAGACAAAAACACTTAATACACTCCTGTGAGTAATTATATTGGAATTCACAACATCATATAAGCACATGAGATCAAAGATTCTCCCTTTAAAGAGGACAAAACATATCTCCATGTCAGTGGCTGAGCTTTGCAGCACTGTTTTGTTCCACTGTCGTAGAAACTTTGTGTGACTTTGTACCAGCGGAGGGGTGAGTCTGTCCCGTGTCTGTGCTACGCTGCTCCATAGTTAACTCGCGCTCTACTTAGGCTGTTGCTGGCTGTCACCTATAAGCTGAAACCATGATGATGCTTCAAACCATCACATACTGTGTCTTTGTACGTACACTGACACGGTTGAGCAGATAAAAAAAAAAAACACGTTGTGAATCATATGTGAGACCCGACCTACTGTATCAGCCGTCTGTGCTTCTTTCTGAGTGCTGTGACATATCTGACATACCATGAAAACTGTGTCACTCCCCGCCCTTCACACTTTTTGCACCATGATGACGACACGTTGTGAAACCTGTACTGAATCTATGATGTGATGTTTTTTATGGCTCTAAGTAGTTGTGTTTGTGCTGTGGGCTCTGGCCCAGTTGTCTGTTGATGCCACCGATCTGACGAGATGCTTTTATTTCATTGTGTGCGTATTTCCACACAGTCATGGGGATGCTTAAACGTTACAGGTTATCTTAAAGGAGGGAAACTGATCTGAAGCGGCTAAAAAGTCAGTTTGCCAGAGTGTTTGGATCAAACTGAAATTTGCATTTTTGATATGAAGCCAAAATAGACGTTAACAGCACACATTTGGACATGTAGCAGGAAAAGCACAAGTATAAACGATGGCATTAATACAGGCTGCATCCCTGTGCTTGCTTTCTGGGGTGCTTAATGGAACATCATTAATGTTGTTAGTTACACTTTGCTTTTCCTGTTATGAGTAGAAATCTGTCAATTCTGAATCTATTGGGTCTAAAGAATAGGCAGCTGGTGCAGTTAGCCCACTCACAATGACCTTTTTTAAAATTGTTAGTTGAATAACAGGGATTCTCAACCTTTATGACCTCTTAAAATAAGGCAGCACCTACTTGTGACCACATAATGGGAACCACTGTTGTAAAGTTAAACTCTCTGACCCTGCGTTTGAGAATTTTTTTCCCTCTCATGCATCTCAGTAACTTCAGCTGATTGAATAAAGAAGTACAAAGAAATAATTGTCATATTTAGTCTTTCAGAGATTTATGCAATAAAGTAAACACAAAAAAACCACTCTCACTTACCCATATTTTTCCATCTAGCCATGCAGATAGTTTTGGTTTTATTTGTCGGGTTTTTGATGCATTGAAAAATGACACAAACACCACAAAATTCAACAGCAACATCTCTCTTCAGAAACCGTGTCCTGTTTACTCCCTGAATCATCCACAGACTTAACTGTGAACATTTTATTGGTAGAACAACTGTTCGGAGTAACACAGACGTTTCTGTTGCATTTCAGTGTAACTGAGTGTAATCCAAACTATCTGCATGGAAGGAACTAGAAGGTACTAGATGCACTCTGTACTGTTTAACACCAGACATGGTGCGAAAAGGCACATATTTCTGCACAGGGTCTGAACTCCGGATCACAGATGAGTCCATTGTCTTATTGTGAAGTGTATGGCAGCAAAGAAAGGTCATAAGTTCACAGACGCAAATAGTCTAATTATAAAATTTAATTATTTCAGAGTATTTAATGTTAAGATTTAAATACCACAGAAATCACTGCATTTAAATATTTTACACTGAAAACTTCAATACTGAACCTGAATAAAAACTCTGTAAATCAAAATGTAAAATTGCACCAGATACAAATAGCAACTGGAAATTACAAAGAGGTCAATTTAAACCACTTAAATTCAGATACATGCCTTCAATAAATAGTGAAATATTTGTGGTATTTGAATTTAACAAACTATATTCCATAGTAATTATATGTCAGTGTTAATTTGCATATAAAATGAAAATGATTTGGGCTGTATTTGCTTCCATAGAAGTACTACAGTGACCTTCCTGTTCAGCTGAAGTGTCACTGAGATCCAACAGAGTGCTTTTAACATGACAGGGTTATCGACCTTTGAGTCTCACTGCTGTACATAGGATACGTGACCAAATATAAATTTAACTTCACACAGAATAACCTTGGGCTGAATGCACCAACGACCTACAAGAGAAAATATCATTCACAGTAGTTGAAGTAGATTGGTGTCTGTTTTGCTTTATACATTTTTGGTTTAAAAAATGCAAATGTGTGAAAATCAAATTCATATATTCGACATTTGCCAAAATACTAGTGCACATGTCTTCTATATGTTAAATTAAAACAGTACCTGACTGAACTGAGGGGAACAAAAAAAAATCCTTGAAATGCTTCAAACAAATGTTGAAAAAGGATAATTAAAACCACAAACAGCAACACTATATATGCAGTTTTACAAATGGAAGAAATATGCATGTCTACTTTCTGGTAATTTTTCACTGTTTACTTGATAAAGAAATGGAAATCTATGTTACTTGCATCCTCAAGGTTATGAAATGGCTCCGTCTGAGTTATCTCACATTAAAATGCATAAAAGAATAGCAAAAGCCTTAGCTTGTATGTAAGTAAATTTATTGCATTGTAACCTTATACTAAAAAGGGGCTACATGTGTCTATACTCTGAGTTTCAATTGGATGCTGGATTTTTGCATGACCATACAGTTAATAAACATACATTAAAAACTATCACGTGTTTGTTTGGATGGTTGTTCTTTGTTATTATTGGAAAATTAAAGCATTTCATTTAAAAAAAAAAAAAAAAGCATTTCAATATCTGTGTCTGTTTCTCATGTTGTTAAAATGCTTGTGTGGTGTATGCAGTTATCTAAATATCAGTACTGTGGTTAATGATTACAGCTGTTTATATAATACGGCACAAAGACACAACATAACACACCTTGGGGATGAATATCTATATATCTGTTAACCTGCAGCTGTATATGAGGCCGGGTGGTAATTAAATCAACTTAGAGGTATTCTATACAATGTACAGCCTTTAAATAGCTAAATATGCTTAGATATGTTTAAATAAATGACAAGAAATGTGTAATTAACAAATGAGCTATTTTACATGTTTTAGATGTTTAAATAATATGTGGAATGAAATACCATTAATTGCATTAACATGCTTTGATGATTTTACATTTGTTCTACGTGTGCTATTTATTAGCATCTAAAAAATATTCTTAGGTCAGTTTTTGGGGGCTATGGTTGAAATAAATGAAATATTTGAAAATGTTCATGGTTTTAAAGGAAGGTCGTCCCCTCTTACACTGACTGACAGGTCCATTCACATCTGTATTATTAAATCTGTTCTAACAGTCACCTCTAGAGAGCGCCAACAACCAAACAAATCAACCTAAGGCTGAGCTGGGGAAGGAACATCCTTTTAAACATGCAGTTAGCGTTTAGGTGTAAATTTAATTAAAGAATAGGTTCACAATTTGTCAAGCCAAGTCTTGAAACAATAATCAGGTGGATATATGTACACTGAAACAAGTTTTGCAATTCTGCTGTTTATACTTTACTAAAAAGGCTGTAACTTTGGGGTGGACGAGAACTATGGAGTTTGTACTACATCTCGGTGGGAAGCATGTTAGGAAGGGATCTTTCAACAAGCAACCGTTTGTATGGATATGTGACTGTTGTTTTAATAGTCTTATTCACAAAAAATGTGAACCTATCCTTTGAGCTTCAGCTGAGGTGAGTGTCTCCATACCTCTGATTCATGCAGATATCTTCCCACCAGTGAGGCAGCCTGCTGCTCCTCCCTGCTTGAGGCATCATTAGCCACTACAAGAATCTATGATGGACCTGTCAATGGTCAAGTTGCATTGTGGGTAATGTAGGCACCATGTTTGGACAAGAACAATGCATGGAATAAAAAAAAGACAATATCTCTGGTTCTTCTACATAGATCATTTTGATCATTTTATTTAAAGAACCGGCTCATTGTGAGTCCGATAATGTTGTAGAGTGCAATGCTAAAGTGGTGGAGTATCCAAAGTACTCCACTTTAAATAGGATGTTTGTCCATTTTCATACATGAGGGGACCAGAATATTATAAAGACCTCTTAAAGAACCAGTGTGTAGGATTTTGTGGCATTTAACAGTGAAATTGCAGATTGTAACTAACTGAATACCACTCGTCTTCCAAACGTGTAGCAGAAACTACACTGGCTGTGAAGAAACGCTCAAGGCCGTATCTAGAGCCAGTGTGTTGTTTGACCATTCAGGGCTACTGTAGAAACATGGCAATTCAACAAGGCAGACTCCGTGAAAGAAGAATCTTTGCATAAAACACAAACACTTGTAGTCTTGATGAATTTTAATTACATCAAATGGATTTATGTAAAAGTGGAAAAGGAAGAAAACAATGGGTCTCGTCATCACCATCATGTTCAACACAGCAACAGAAATCTGCACGTTCTGTATGCACTGGGCAGATTACAGGTCACCTATACTCAAGTCATATTTATAAACAGTTCCTTACCGAGTTCCTTCTCAGAACGTACATACACAATACTGTGATGGTATGATGTTAATGAACTGTGCTTTTACTGTTACTTTCCATTTCAGAGGAGGATGGGAAGCAATAAATGAGATCAACGATGATATATTTTTTTAAGATAAGAACAGTGTGTAGGCTTTGTTTCGGGGTGGCTGCCAACCTTTATATAGGTGACCTGGAACACTCCCATGATTAGTCTCACTCTCAGATCACACAACCTTCACTCACGATTGGCACGCACCAGATGCCAATCACACAGCTGTCATGGCTCCTGTCCAAGTCCATTTGGCATCCTGGCAAGAAAAATCCCCACTGAACTCTGTCCTCCCTCTTTGATTGGATAAAGGAAGTGGGGTGATTGGCTGATTGATTGCTCCATGCAGATTGTGATTCTTCAGTCTGATAGCAGGTTAAGTTGGAAATGTTTGGTGCCGACATGCTTTGAAAAATGTTTTGTACAAGCCTGAACGTCGCCTTTGCTTGTGCATGCTGCACATTTACAAAAAGACTCATTGTTGTTGATCATGGCGTTGGGCAGAAGAAGGTCCGGCTGACTTTGAAGTTGCAAAAAAGAACCAAAATGGTGTCATCAGTCTGATTTAAGATCTCCCTTTTGGCTGTCGTGTGAACATTGGCACTTTAATCTTAGCCCGTAGAGACTAGTGCACATCTAGCAGTCCATCACACTGAAGGAAACATGGCAGTGCAATCTGCCACAGCTTTAGTCTTTATAGAAAAAAAAAAAAACTGTCACAGCAACATTTTCTAATATTTTTCTGTTTTCCTTGATTCAAGGAAGAAAAACAAAACAGAGAAGGAAGCCACTTTTCTCTACTGAAGTGTCCTGGGTTTGAAACAAAAAAAAAAAAAAAAAAAAGGGAAGAAAAAGGAAACTGGGATATACAATCTTTTCTCACTGTAGACGGTCTCAGCAGATTAACTCTACTAGGCTTCAGACACACAGCTCCAAGGCCACCTTTCTCTCTGAGTCCCAGGCAAGCAAAGAGGAGTGGAAAGAGCAAGAAAAGAAAGAGAAGGAGACAGATTAGAAAGTAAAGAGGCAAAGTTGAAAAAAAACAAAAAAGAGAACACAACACAGAAAATACAAAAGAGAAAAAAAAGACAGTTAAAAGTCAGAAACTGTTTCAGTAGACAGTGATATATAAGAGAAGACAGAAGGAAGCAGCCAGCCTGGATTCACATGCATTGTCAAGGGAACAAGAAGGGGGAAGGATTTCAGCGCTACACTGAAGCCATGCAGCAACAACAAGCAGCCTGAAACAGCAAAGGGCCTATTTTTTGTCCACCAGCGGGAAACAGTCACCTTAACCGACAACACAAGAAGCATCATGAAGGAGGGATACGTTGAGGCCCTGGAGTTGTAGAACTCCTCGTTAGGTGATTTGGGGACACAAACAGGCAACATGTTCGTCCACTGAGAGCAACGTTGTAAAACGGCCCATATGCCATGCAGACCAGGGTCCCATCAGACTCTGAACAGGCGTTTGGCACCACAGGGACGGTGGGGCAACAAACAGTACAGTGAGGAAGGGGGTGGGAGGCTTACAGAAGCAGGGGAAGCAAGTGCTTGACAGGATGGACGACATCTGTTACACCATGTTTTAGGTTCCCATGGAGACAAGACCGAAACCCCCACCCCCACCCCCACCCCCACCGATCCCTATTCCTCCCGCTCGAGCAGCACTCACTCACCACGCGCTCACAGCATGGTAGCAGACAGACGAGGGTGGTGGGGGCGGGGTTTAGCAGCTTTGCTGCGGCTCCCCGCTCCTGCTTTTAGACTTTCTGCCCTCCACATCTGTAGGACAAAGGCAATGTTTATGTTACATCTGTAGTCAGCGACAAGAACATTTTCATTGACTTTATACCTGCATATACTGTAGATTAGGATAAATACAATAAAGCAACTTCAAAAACAGCAAGTATAAAGGCAGAAATAAATAAGAATCTAGAGGCAGACAGTACTATTAGTATTGGCACATAAAGCAGTGCTCGTCTTTGATTATAACTTAATGATTACAACAATCTGTACAAGATCTTGTCAGTCTAAATTACATAATCAAATATTATCCACTTTCAAATTATGGTGAGTCAGGGTGAGTAAAGGTTTCCAGATACCAAAAGAAATGATGTTAGCTTCCTTCACAAAACAATCTGACCACTGAAAACTATTCTCAACTTACTACTTCCTGTTTTACTAACTCCATCAAGGGCTATCATCCTCCACTACCTTCACTGTCAACTTTCACATAACCAACTGCACCTTCCCCTCAGATCGTTTTAGGAATGAAGCTTCATCATTTTGTCACCAGCCCAAAGGTCTGTTAAGACCCACCAGAGCAAATGCCCCAGTTAATATACAGAACAGAAAACACAGAAAAGGTGTCAAATGTACAAAAACAAACAGTACACACCATTAATAATAATAATAAAAAAAGATAAACATGATGACCATTTTGATCACAGCAATCAAAATGAGTGTTTCAGGTCAGACAGAACAAAGCCGTGCAATTTAGTGGATGATGCAACTGAGTTAAAAGCAGTGAAAAGTCCCCCATACACTGAAACATCATAATACATAGAGAGTGGAAAGTGAATCTATTATCTGACACATTAAACATTTTTTATTTGGATTTGTAATTAAGAAATTGCTGCTACAAATCTGTCCCACAATTAATGCTTTTTTTAATGGATCCTGGTGACCGATGAATCTCAAACATTTGTACTCGCTGCTAATTTACGATTCAAGCTATAAACAGAAATATTGAGCCTGTGATGCATAAACCCCACATTGCAGATAATAGTATAATGTTAGCCAGTGAAACAGATTTGATGAGGAAACAATAATATGGTAAAAGGCTACTGGACGGAAGAACATTCATCAAAGTCCCACCTCAGAGAAAAGAACAGAAAAATAAAGAAAAAACAACAGCGTTTCACCGATCGGCACCATGGCAAACAGAAAAGAATGAAACAAATACACCACACAGAAATAGATAGTGCTCTGATAAATACATGCAGAGGAGGACGATTTGGCATTCATCCCATTTTTCTCCCCTCTTTAAGTCACGTCTGGCAGAAAAGATCAGCAAGCCAGAACCTCCTCGTCATTCACACACACCCGTACTCATACCACAGAGACTGCTTCTCCTCTGCACTCAGTGACTGGTCGGAATTACTCACACGATTGGGATCAACGCCCTTGTTATACTCTTTCAGACTGGCTGGGCTTGTCTGGCCATTTGAGTGGCTGTGAGGGGCCTGGTTTTGGGTGGAAATGTGGGTCGGGATAGGAGGAGGGTGCGTTTTATTTGTAACAGGAGGCCCGCTGATGTTGCTGACTAGTGTGGGGTTTAGAGACAGGAAGGGTAGGTTTTTGCTCGCTGACTCACTAAAGATGGAGTCCATGAACACAGACTCTACAGTGAAGGAAGGGCCGAGGAACGACTCGAGGGTGGAGAGGTCAGGATCTTCCAAGCTATGGCAAGGTAAGCTGAGTGACTTGGGCAGGGTGGTGGTGGTAAGGGGTGCCTTTAGGTTGGTGCTGTTTGGGTGGTACTCACTGGGTGTAGGCTGGGAGCGTACCCCAGCCTTGGTGGATGCGACGGGAGGAGCAACGTCGACGGACACGGGCTGACGGTTGTCTTTTGAGAGCAGGTCGTGGATGCTGGTGCGCCGCGTGGTGCCCTCGGCGGTGGAGATGACGCTGCTGGCCCGGGGCAGTGTGGAAGAGGAAGAGTCCAGGCGTTCGGAGACGGATGTGGCTTTGCCCTGCGAGGACAGGCTGGAGCGGAGTGGGACGGAGCCCCTCACACGGGTGCTCTCTGCCTTACGCAGGGTCGGGCGACCCGGCTGTCCAGCGGATCTAGGCGGGCGATCAGAGCTGACCGGGGCCGCTTTCCCACTGGCGGAGCGCAATATGCCCCGGCCTTTTGTGGAAGTGCGTTCTTTCTGCACATGCTCGGAAGAAGTGGAGAGGCGAGGAGAGTCTACAGTGAGGTTCTCCTGACTGCCAGACTGCAGAGACAGAGCAGACAAACAGTATAATTCTTTAACATTAAAGGTAGTTTTATCAAAATTTATAATTCTACATTTTTACGTCAAAAATCTTTGTGCTCGTCATGTTTACTTGATTCTTGAAAATCGATTCAAATAGTTTGACAGAAAATTAATCTGCATACTATTTTAAAAGTTGGTATAAGTTTGGGTTTTAAACTGTTAAACTGTCAGACAAAACAACCAATTTGAACCATGGGCTCTGAAAATTATAATGTGAAAACTCTTTTTGGAAAAAAACTAAAAATAGAGAAAATAATCTAATAATAATAAATTAATTGTTTAAATAATTGTTTAGTTCCAGCGCTAAATATATCCCTCATATGATTGCAATCATAATAAGTGGTAAATGGACCTGTACTTGTATAGCGCCTTTCTAGTCTTCCGACCACTCAAAGCGCTTTTACACTACATGCCACATTCACCCTTTCACACACAATCACAC